ATCTGTAGATTTTCCTAATCTGCATTATCATTTAACTTATTGCGGAAAAACCTGATTATTCAATTGCAGGTTTCTTGAATTTCCCGAAAAAATTGAAATGGTGGTTAGGAGGTCGTTGACTTCAACTCTTACCTGTGGTCCAACTTACCGTTCTGGAGTTAGATTAGTATAGTCCGCGGAGCGAAGCACCTGTGGTCCAACTTACCGTTCTGGAGTTAGATTAGTAAAGTCCGCGGCGCGAAGTGCCGCGCACGTTGAAATTCCCGAAAAATAGAAATGATGGTTAGGAGGTCGTCTACTTCAACTCACCTGACAACTTACCGTTCTGGAGTTAGATTAGTATGGTCCGCGCGGGAAAGCGCACACACACCTTTGATTTACATGCGGAACAACCTGCTCCCAGCGGCCGCGGGAAGCAACTTCGACTACACTTTTTCATGCGGAACAACTTACTCCCAGCGGCCGCGGGAAGCAACTTCGACTACATTGTTTTTCACTTTACACTTACTCCGAACAACCTGCTCCCAGCGGCCGCGGGAAGCAATTTCGACTACATTTTTTCACCTCACACTTCTAAAAATTTCCTTCTCTTCCTATCGCTATTTCCACCACCCCACAAAACTCTATAACCACCGTTTTTGCAGGACAAAATGCTGGGACTAGGCGTATATGAGTGGGGCTACATAAGCTACTTTTGCCGGTTTTCTTTCCCTTTCCCACTGTCCCCAGCTAAGCCACATATACTATAACACTAAATTTTTCTTCTCATGTCAGATATTGTGGCTGAACCATTGAAAATAAACAGAATCATGCCAGATGGACTGAAGACAAGTTCGTTTTAATTCAAGGAGCTTAAAAAGTGATTCTAAACAGGCTTAAGTTGACTCCTTTCTGTACGTTGGGTGCGCAATATATTGTCTAATCTTTCATTTTAGATCTTTGTTTCAACGTTCATAATATTCCCATGTCAAGTTTAATTCTCAAATGTGATTAGTTTGCAATATCAAAGAGCCCCCTGGCTCGTTTGCGTCTCTTGTGTTTTACTTCTCAAGGTGTTCGCCATATATGACCCTCCGGTTGTAGTTATCGTTGAGTCTCTTCCTTATAACTTTTTATTTCGGTAATTAGAAGTCTAATGTATGCTTCCACTTCTACAGGTTTTGGATATTGACTAATTTCCAGTTCTCACGCTCCATGTTTTCTTTGTTTCTAGTTCCAGCACTTCAGCGGTGCGCCATCTGTCATGCCAGGAGCTTCACGGTTTGCTGAAAACACCCATCCGTTATCCTTCTTTGCAGCGTTGTTAATGTTCCCATTCCGAAATCCCAGTCAGCAACTCAAACCGTTAATGGTTTGATTAAGAGGTGTGAGCTCCTCGGAGCTGTTGAACTCTATCCGACGAAGATTGAAAGTTCAGTTTACCGTTCGGTAGCAACGAAGCAAGGTACTACCTCCTCTGTTGTAATGCGCTCTATTTTCTACCAGGTCTATGTTCTTCCTTTCAGGTCTTTACAAATTCTGACTACCCGGCCTCTTGTTTTGTAATAAGTGATAAGGATCAAATTCTTACCTGTGACTTGGCCTTCCGCGAATTCCCTGGTCTGCTGAAGGGAGTCTATGAGCATGAGCAAAAACTTCAAGTTAGAGGAATTGGAAAGAAGTACAGATTGGGAGATTTTACCACGAACTTCATATCGCTCTACCTCGGCCAAAGTCCAACTGTCAGAGGAGTCCTTTTGGAGGTTTGTGAACTTGCCCGTTATTTTTTATTCGACTTCAATTTTCTGCCCACTATTGCTATTTGTGTGGTCTCTTACCTTTGCATGTCATTTTTGCCGTGGATTATCAGTTTAGAGTTTTCTTGGAATATCACAGCGCCAAGTTTTCTTATGTTGTATCACCGACAGTTCAATCCTCATTCTCACCCAGTACTTGGCATGAACATTATATGGTTG